TAGATGAAAATTGTTCACAGTGGACCGCGTCGTTGAGACTGATATGACCCGATGGGAAAACCAATCCCCAACAGCTCTGATGTTGAGTGAGCGCGCAAGGCTTGAGTGCCAATACTAAACAGTGAAGCAAGGGGCAATTAGGAATGAACAATTCTCAGACCGTCTGATAATTGATTGGTTGGACATGACTGCGAACCGACGTTCCTGTTGTTTGTTATCGGGACAGAATGCTCGCAGAGTTGTGCAAGTATTGTGTGCTGATCAAGGGCAATTGAGATTCATTCTCGTTCTCTCAAACCAGACACACTCCCGATCGATCCACTTTGCACATTCATGCCTGACTTCGTGTACATCGTGAACTTGGTAGCGATCTGCGTAGGTCTCCGCACTCATTGTATTTCGTTCCACGATAATGAAGATGATGGCAGCAACAAGCCAATGACTGATGGTGCTATCCAAATCAGGAAATAAACGGGAGATTTTAAGAGGATTTTCTGGGAAGGTGAATCAGCACTATAGGATCAGATAAGTGACTGAGAAATTCCTCGGGTGGAATTCTACGAGGCGGAAGGTGAAACCGATTGTTCCCAGAGGCACTGACCGAGTCGAAATCACAGAAGAAATAAGAAGACAAATGTATTTTGACATTAGGGGAGGGGAAAGTGGTCTGGTTCACAGATAAATATGGGCAGGATCACAGTTTTCCCCCACTCGGTATTTCTAATGAACCAGTGAGGCCGTTTGTGCACATCTTGCCAGCAAAAAGGATACCTATTGGCCTCTAAATCCTACAAAGAACACAAGTATATCTGCAAAACCATGGCGCATATCCCGTACATACCATCGTCCTGAGTAGATTCGAGCACACGAATCAAATACTCCAGTAGTATGGCATGTCGAACACGATGTTTGGGATTTTCTGAAAACTCGCGGACGATACGATCGGACAGGCTGAGGAGGACGATGTAAAGCCACATGAGGTCCCCGCCACGAAGCGGGCTCATCTGATGAGCAGCCATATCATCCAAATTGGCAAGCGCTAACTGAATCCCGACCGGGACATCGGTTACACCCAGCTGTATGAGATCGCAAGCAAATTCATGCCAAGACAAAGTGTGGCACCCGCTGCGAAGCAAATACCACGTTGGGCTGCCTCGATGCAATTCCTCGTGCCACCGGTCGTATGCCGCTTTTTTCCGAGCGGCCAACGCTGAGTTGACGTGTTCCTGCGCCGTGTCTACGGTGGATGAGGACGCGGTACAACAGCCGAGTGGAGCAGCCGGATCCAGCGAAGGGGGTTGAGGCAAATCACATCCACAGGACAATCGGCCTCCAGATATGAGATGGGACCAGAATGCTCGTGTACGTGGTCTATATTGGTCGAGAAACTCCACCGGGTTCTCCGTGCCTGTCAGAGCACCTGAGGAGAGAGCATCGTCTTCATTTGCATGCCAATCAACCAACTGTTTAAAACGGAGCCAGATTCTGCAAAGAACAAATGAAACATGCAGCTAATTAGATTCAACAGAACACAGAGCACGGATTACATAGTAGGATTCAAATTGTATGGTTTGGTAGATTGAAGTGTTATATCGGGATTGTGAAGCTCCGTGGGATTCGAACCTACCCACGGATGTTGGCTATTCTTTCTATATAGCACTATATAGCATTGTTCACGATTTTCATTCTATTGTATTCTTTTATATTTCAAATGATGTGACCTCGTTGTTATTATATGCACACTGAATTCGAGAATCCTCATGAATTCATAGTATCTATACATTCCACAGTAATTTGATCTCGCGTACTATTCGAAATTACCCATCGGGACATTACACGATACACAAAATATTACGCTCCTATTCGAATCGTTCCGATTTTGAACTGTGTTTTATTACACACACCTTAGTGTGATGAACAATCGAAAGAGTGAATCCCATAGTCACGTGGACATACTTGTTCATTTATCACAACCGGCAGCCTAAACTCTGAGTGATGGAAAATGATTAGACCCAACTCAAACGAACATGAGTTTAATGCGCGCCTGTGTAGGGTGAAATTTCAACATTTTCAACGATTTGCAAAGCCCACAACACGAATTTTGGGTCAGGTGGTAAAAAGCGCCTGGTATCAGATCAAAAGAAACGTCGAAAAATTCACCCGAACTAAGCATCAAATATCAAGGCACAAAACTGTTATAAACTTGACTCCGAATATGCCGATGATGTCACCTTTCTGGGTGACAACACACAGACGGTCCAACACGCTTGGCGATCGAGGTATCCAGATATGGTATGTCCTTTGCACCTACCAAGTGCAAAGTGCTTGTTCAATACTGGCAGCAGCCCATGTCTGCGCTCACCCTCTGTGGTGATCAGCTGGACGTGGTTGAGAGCTTCAAGTACCTCGGGAGCTTGATCGCAGCTGGTGTTGGGGAGGAGATCACATCACGAATGGCGAAAGCTAGAGCAGTTCTTGCCAACCTGCGCCACCATGAAATCAGACTGTTATTCAAGGGAAGGGTGTATATTATCATCATTGTACAACGCAATACAGTGAAGCGAACTTCACTGATCGCTGCCAAACTCATATTGCATATGAGGTAGGTGAGAATGTGTAAGGAGGATAGGGATGGGACTTAATTTTAGGGTCGGGTAAAGAAAGCGATGCTCTATGGTCAAAACACACAGAGTTCAATTGCGCATAAATACTAGTTCAAACATTCTGGTCTGATAAGAAGTGACATGATCACCATTGCTGTCATGACCTTCAGTGTCTCGAAACGTGCGGTTTCGGAGTCTTTTGGACCCTACCCCGGAAAACGAGAGACACCTACTTTACCTAATCGCTCTGTACATTTCTTCATACCTCGTCTCCACGTGGCTTTCTCCAGCTTGCAACAGTCACTGCAAACAAGGCACGCTGCGGTAGTCAACCATCGGACATACGCAAGACATGTCCTAACCAACGGAGCCTACTGAGCTCAATTCGATGCGATAGCGATTTCTTGCTCGATGCAATCCCAAACACCCGACGACTTACGTCTTAGTTACTAACCCGCTCACCCCATCCCACTTGGGCCGGACTACGTAAGCATCGATTATCGAGAACCACTAGATGACGGATGTCTTCTACCGGCAAACTCAAGGTCTCACAACCGTAAAGTAGAAGCGATCGTACAGTGGCGCAGTGTACGCGACTTTTCAAATTCAATGAAAGGTCACGTCGCCACCACAGGCGTAGTATTGCATTCAAACTTTAGCGAGTTATATACAAGCTTTCAGCCAAAATATTGTCTGGGGAAAGATCTCGCTGACGGAACATAATGTGTTTGGGTCGAGTAAAAGAAAAATGTCCCGAGTGTGAGTGTGAGTAAATCTTAGGTCTGACCAGGATCACTTTGTGATCACTGGTGCCTAAGAGGGAGAACTGTTTGGTGGAAAAGGTGTCAGCGTGGTTTGTGATTATGTGGTCTAGATGAGAGTTTCCTCTAGTTGGTTCAATAATCAGGTCACTGAGGTTTAGACACAAAAAGGGTGCAGGGGGGTGCGTAGTTAAAGTCATCAACTATTAGGTGCAAGCTGTCTGCAAGAGATGGGGCAATGACCGGTAGGAAATTATCATAGAATGTGTCAATTTCTGATAATCTACACTGGGGTGCAATGTATAAATTAGTGATGGCGATATAAGGAAAGCGGGAGAATTTGGGGTGACAGACGACAGTCAAGCAATCAACGCCATTCGGGAATACTTAAAAAGTACTTCGGACTTGCCGCACAAATTGAAATTGATGTAAGCAATCACACCGCTTCCTAACTTCTTTCTACACGGTTTCAGTTTCAGTCCTGCGTACACTGCTCGAGTCTTGGAAATGCGGGTGGTTGTCTCCTTTGATGCGCTACCGTCGTTTATCACACAGCTACCTAAGTACGAGAAGCAGCCAAATTCAGCTAATTTCTGACCGTCTAAGTTTCATAGCAGAACTCCGCAACATCGCCGTAGTTAGTGGCGGTTGCTTTACGGTTGTGATATCTGGTCCCTCCGCGTTAACGATGCTAATCGACTTTCTGTATTCGATCACTGATGTCTCCGAAGCATTGCTCGTGTCTAATGGGGACACCGGATGAGTAATGACGAGGTCCGTCCTCGTGTGCTGGGTGCGAATATTCCTTCTCTAACAGAAGCAATCGTTCTACACCGCCTCCGATGGCTTAGTCAGGTATGGCGTATACCTACACATTGACTACCTTTCCGAGCTCTCTTCGCCCGTGCCGGGCAAGGCTGGAAGAAGCGGTGCGGCGGTCAGACCATGATATGGCGTAGCGGTAGGCAGAAGTTAGTTTCGACTTTGGTTTCGGTTGGTGCAGCCCACCTTCCAGGTTGGAGCCCAAGGGATGAGGATTGTCGTTGATTAGAGACGCTCAGAGATATGATTCAGCATAGAAGAAGTCAGTGGCACGAATGCTGTACGGTTTGTCTGTCGAAATCCCGTGTTCCGTAAAAAAAAAACAATTAAAAACACAAACAACTATCAAAATGTGTACGACGAAACACAAAACGTTTTGTTATCCCAGCTATCTACCACTTTCCCGTATTTAACTGGTTCACCTTCGTTCCACTTTGTTCTGTATTCCAATTCAACTGCCCCTGTTATTGTTATTGTTGTGGCGTTGGCACCATGCTTGTCTACAAGCCGGTGTTAAATATATATATATATATATATATACACTCAGCAGAATGACCAGAAATCCTAAACGTGTTGCTCTGCTCCCCCAAGTGTTCGCAAACGCAACGCGACCCTCCCCAACCCTCAAGGAGTCACAAATCGAGATTCGGACTGGTCATCAGAGTGGGAACGATCAGAGTACAACAATGATAACACGTAACATTGAGCATGCCATGAGGCAGCCCCGCCTCCCGATCATAATCATGAGAACACACATACCGGTTCAATGGGTCTTGCAACATCGACACGATTGCACGGAGCCAAAGTGGCCACTCATCACGTGTGGTGAGAATCGAATCCAACTGAGGCAGATTGACCCGTAATGTTTCTCTTCAAGATGGGAATGCAAACCGTGGAAAGTGGGGGAAAGAAAGAACGAGTCAAAAATGGCACAGTTAAACTCAGATTCAGTGGTTGCCATGCGAAATGAAGATACTGTATCTCTTTGAAAACAGCTGACAATGAGCTTGGCGAGGGGAGGGGAATTTTCGTCAGTCATTCATTTGAGAAAAAGTCTTACGCCTTCGTCCGACGGTAACATAGAAAAACATAAAATTACGGTCGAGTGCATAGTTCGATTTGTTTGTGTGAGCTTCATGCAAACGAGGCGGTCGGTTGTTCACACCGTTCAAAGCATGCATCTAAAATGTTTGTATTGCGATCTGTGTTTGGAATACTCTGGAATGAGACCAGTGTGAAGTGATTGGTGTGGGTGTGTGAGAGAGAAAGAGTTTACTGACTGGGATTATAAGTGGATAAATGGTAAACCGGATAAGAGTTTACAGGTTGATTTCCGGCTTTGTGAGCCCCCCAAATTTCAATATTGTTGAAGGAAGATTTCCTGGACACTTTTTCGTTCTTCTCATTTTACTACCTTTTTCGAATATACAAAGATACAATTTTCAAGAAGGGGAAAACGGTCAATCAAAGGACTGCCATGCTAACTGGTGAAAGCCATATGTTTCGATAAGTTGGATGGGTAATTCGAATATGAAAAGACTAGTCCCCTGTCGGTGTGGCTTTGCAGTTCAGCTGGTAGAGCGTGCGCTGTACAGATAGTGTTGGCGGCGTCCACGCGTGGGTTCGAATCCCACCGAGGCTACTACACTTTTCACAATCCTCTTTTGTTGCACCCTGTCCAACAAGAGGCTCGAATAGCATTTGCTGAAGAAGCACTACTCACTACCTTCCCGTGGTGGAGGCGTTGTCCCATCAAATTGGGGTAGGTGGACTACTTGTAGTTCGATTGGGTTGGAAAAAAATGAGAGGAGAATAAGAATCACGTAGATTGAACAGAAATTTGATTTCTATTGATAAATTCTCACGATTGATTTAATTTTTGAGCCACAAATAACGTCTGCTTCACTGATGCTCATCTACGGACCGAGAGCACATAGTCGATTCAAAGTGATGCGAGACCGCGAAACAGGTGAACTCACGCTGTCTGGAGTGAAGTGATCACGTTTGTGTGAAACATTTCCAGTCCAGGAATTCGTGAACACACACGGAACAGCGAGGCCATCACACGGACTGCGGAGTCCAGATCATCCGGATCGGTGGGAGATGTGAATGTATCTTGGGTCAATAGTGCCATGCTCAAACGTGCTTCCCACGAACAGATCAGCTGAATTGGCCGAAACAGAAGAGGGGGGACAGGCGGGCGAAGATCAATAAGCGAATCAAAATAATCAGGGAAGTCTACGTACAACAAAAATCAGTCTAACCAGTGCATGAAAAAAATTCCACAAGCTCTTTGATGAAAAGGAACCGTCAGTGGACCAGTGTCTACTGTCCAAAGACAATGAATCGTGTGACTTACACTCAACAAGCGAATCGGATCGAAATGACGCGAGGCGACAAACAGTTCCCATTCAACTTCTAGCTCGGTTTGTTGCCGTTCGTCTCGCCTGAGCACGAAAGGCGATGAGGGAGGGAAAGGAGGGAACAAACAGGGTGACGAGAGAAGGAAACTGAAATGACAGGCACAATAAATGTGAAAACGAGAACAGGGTTTGACGAGGTTTGATAAGAGGGGGCATATTATCAGAGATAATAATAATGAAATCTCCGAGAGTCTCATGTAGTATATGGTTGTGGGATGGGTGTCGGGGATTGCAGCTGGTCACTCTTCCGTTGCACCTCGTTAAATGTTCCTCAAACGACCAAGCATCTCAAATAGCCAATTCTGCTGAGGAAACGCTACTCACTGCCTTCGCGCGAGACGGAGATGTTTTCCCCCACCAAAGTGAGACGACGAAAAGCCGACATCGCGGGGGAAATAACCGGGACGGTGAACCCCTGGCAGTTTACCTAGGGGAGTGAGCTAAAAATCCTGATTCCAAACTAACCAAGAGGAGGCGTACGAACCACACTCTCACGCCTTCCTGGTTGTGGCAATAGGCACTAGTTCGATCAGGCATCGAGATGTATCGGGTATTTTCGATGTTCGACCCAGTCCGAAGGGCATATGATCAGATGAACTGGACACAGGCCCCAATGGATTATGGTTTTCACATACCAACCCGCTGCCTTGCGAGTCAAGCTTTGGCTAGTCAAGGGCTCCGATTGTGAATTCCTCAAGAAAATTCACCTACATTGACCTAGATAACCTGGCAGTATCGCACCGACAAATAAATTACGTAACTGTTTTTATACAAGGATCATTGTCCTGTGATTTGGTTGGAATACGGAGGCAGAGAGGTGTCGGCATGATCATATGTGATTTACATTGCTATTGTATAATCATGCTGGGATTGTGCAACCGAAATACCGAACTACTTCGGTGCCAGTTATACGCGAAGGATTCGGCAGTCACACAAGGACCTCTCTCAACTGCTCAAAAGTGCTCGGTCAACGGACATCATGGTAATCGCCGGAGACTTCAATGCTCAAGTGGGATCTCTGGACGAATTAGAAAGGCTTCTTGGCGGACAACATGCAATCCTAGCTAACCGGACTGACAACGGAGAACACCTACTCCAACTTTGTGCTGACCACAGACTGTTTCTGTCAAGCACGAACTTCTCGCACAAGAAACAACACCAACTTACATGGAGACCGCCAACCGCTCCACAGCGTTGTATTTAAATCGACCACATCGCCATCAGCCACCGCCGGCGTGGATCCATTGAGGACTGCCGCTCCTACTGGTCAACACCCGTGGACACTGACCATGCTCTGCTACGAGCGAGATTCTCCCTACGTCTGATAAACAACCGCATAAAAGCCATTGAAAACGGATGCCCACAATACAGTATCAGCGACGGTTGCAAATCGGCCTTCGAAGCAGAACTATCAGATCACCTCTCAGCTCAATCATCAGCCGGAGGATGAAGTGAACACTGGTCGGCAATCAAGGGAGCGATCCAAACGTCGATAAAAACAACGGCAAACTCTGGCGCACGATCAAATAAAAAACGATGAATCTCCCCNGAAGTGTAGAGAGATGGAGAAGGCTGCGGCTATCGGTAATAGTCGCAAACTTTTTCGTTTAATTAGGTGTACAGGACCAAGGGAAGTAGGCCTAAGTGAGGTAATTAAGGAGTGTGACGACACACTGATTCAAATTCAGGAACGTCGTCTTGAACGTTGGGCAGAACATTTTAAGGCACAGTTTAGCTGGCCCCTTTCGACACAAGACTTTCCCCCATTCGATTCAACTGTGCGAATACTGCCAGTTGACATCAGTCCTCCATCTGAAATGGAGGTCTCCCAGGAAATAAGTTATCTCAAATGGCATAAGGCTTCCGGCCCCGAAGGGCTGTCCTCATCCGTTTTCTAAGGATGAAGGATCAGCCTTGGTTTTGAAGTTAACAAAACTACTGGGCTCAGCATAGGAGAGGGAAGAGGTTCCAACTGAATGGTGTAAATCGGTGATCATACCGATTTACAACAAAGATGGCAGGTCCTCTTGTGAAAACCACAGAGGAATTAGTTTAATCAGCATTGCACCTAAACTTCTCACCAGTATCATACTTCATCGATTGTATGCAGCACGTGAACGGTGTACGCGTGCGAACTAGGCTGTTTTCAGACCGGAACGAGGTTGTATCTTCTTCTTCTTCTTTACTCTTCGCCAAATTCTATAACACAGACACTCCCTTCGTAGACCCACTATGTCTTTCTCGATCTGAAAGCGGTTTTCGACTCAGTCGATCGGTCTAAACTCTAGCTCTGCCTTTCTCTGAGAGGTGTGCCCGAAAAGTTAATTTCAATATTACAATCCCTCGATATTTATAGCCGAAGCCGAGTCTGGCACCTTTTTGCCCGAGTTCACCACCGAAAGTGGTGTCTCTCCTTTTTTATTTAACTTTGTCATAGACCTGATTACGGAAACAGCCCTATCCCCGTGCGAGGATAGTGGCATCGATTTACTCCCAGGTGGCAGACTGTCTGATCTACAGTATGCAGACGACATTATGCTACTAAGTGAAGATCCAGGTAAGTTTGAGTGCTAGTGTAGCCATGTTCGGTATGCGTTTTGCACCTTCAAAGTGTAAAATGCTACTATAAGACTGGGTCGGTCCAGCACCGAGCCTCACTCTAAGTGGGGAAGTAATATAGCCGATGGATAAGTTTTGTTATTTAGGAAGCTACATCTCACCCTGTGGACGCGTTGCGGATGAAGTGTCGGCGCGCATATAAAAGGCTCGATTGGCATTTGCCAACTTGAGAAATTTGTGGCACCGTCGCGACATCCGGTTGCCTGTGAAGGGTCGGATGTATGCAGTAACAGTTCGGCTAGTCCTGCTCTACGGCGCAGAGACCTGGCCACCACGGAACAGGATAAAAATAGATTATCAGCGTTTGAACAGCGTTGTTTACGTCGCATTGCACGAGTCTGGTGGGGCAACCGGACAAGTATTGCTGAGGTTAGGCGTAGAGTTCTAGGTAATTGTGATCGTCCACTGGAGCAAATGATCGACCTCGATAGATTACACTGGTTGAGGCATGTGTTACGCATGTCACCAAATAGGTTGCCACGGCGAGCGATGTTTGCCGAAAAGATGGAGTCCGGTGGCACGTAAGATAACGCCTGGAAATGGCTTCTACAGGTTCACAAAACTATCAGGGTGGAGGAGTTCACAATGAGATCATTTCACGAACCCTTATTACGCAAATTTTGATCTGACACTCGTCCAGTACGGATCTGCGAGTGAAATGTGATCAGAGCATGTCGAAGATATATGGAAACTGCTGTGTGTGTGTGTATGTTCGACCACTTACTACAATGGAATAAACATTGTTGATCGCGGCTGCTACGCGTAAAGTAAGGTAGCGGAACCCGCGAGATTATGCCTCTCACCAACTGTCGTGCTAGAACTGACACTACTGCTGCTCTGGCAGACACTTAAACGACGCGGTTCAGACGACGTTGAAAGTTCGAAGCTTCATTTTTTTCTACGGTGTATATCACAGGAACCAGGAGCGGATCTCAGTCTGTTCCAATTTCCGTTTATAGGCAGCTCCTCACCATGATATGCATGAAGTAGACACATTCCGCTAAAGCAGTCATATAAAACGAAACAGGTAAGGCAAGAGACGAAAATTATCAAAAAAAAACAACAAACAAACAAATGCACTCACATTCGCACGAAAGGAAGATCGGAGAACAAAGCACCATTGGACAAATATAACCAATTGGCCGGTGAAAAATCGAAAGATTTCCCGTCAGCCAATATGCGTTTGTAGAATCCACCGTCATGCAATCTAGGTAGATTTGTGTGTGAAACAGAAACGAGAAAACATCAAACTGAAGCGTTACGGGCAGTGAAAATCGGATTGGGTCTGAACGATCACGCAACAATCGGACTGTACTGGGCTCTTTTTGAAAGATCCACTGACAAAATGCATTCATAATCTCTGTACAATTTGTGCCCGTGTTGAGGGTGTTTTCAGTGAGACGAATGAAAAAGAATCTGTTCGTTGGGACCACAACTAGGTTGATGAGTCTTTTTTTCATTACATACTTTCGTGTGATGAACAACAGACGGAGAAAGCCCCATAGTCACGAGGACCTGCTGTTCAGTGATGGAAATCGGTAACCTAAGCACCGGGACTGGGAGTGGTGGACCACATAAGGCCCCGATAGGGTAGGTGTGGTACTGGACCGGATGACAGCAAAGCTGCGTACCACCAAAGTTGGGTGGCGGAGCTCGAACCTCGGACCGTAGGTTCCAAAGCACGCCGGTGACAGCAACTGAACCACTGCTCCAACACCCTGACAAGGAATCCCGGCTTCACCCTTCCACTTTGGTTTCATAATGACAGCGCTGTCGAAAACTGTAGAGCTTCTCTCGTGTGATCGACTACATGACTTAGCATTTGCTGACGACAGCGCTACGCTATTCGACTCCGCCCAAGACGTTTTGTTTAAGTTAGTGTTAATCATCGCGCAGTTTTGTATCACCTTTTCTCACCTATCCTCAAGCTCCTGAGGGACCAGTTGGAAATCGTCGATCACTTTAGTTATTTCAGGAGTTGTTTCAGCTCAAGAGGACTGACAAAAGAAATATCATTGTGTGTCCGCAAGGCTCGGGGAGGCTGTCGCTAACCTACATCACTTGTGGAGAATACGCGATCTTGGTCTCTCCTTGAAGGGCCTGGTCTACAACGCCACAATACGCACTGTTTTCAAGCAGAATACGTATGGAGATTAAGTGTCTTTGACCACCGTTGCTTTCGTCGCATCGCAAGAATACGTTGGCAGCAGCAAATAACCAACGATGAGGTTCGCCGAAGAATCTTTGCCTCAGACAATATCATTCGTTCTCTGCGTGCCATCATCTAGCTCCATAGAGTGGGTGAGACGTGTTGCGGAAGCCGGTTCAACAACTGCCCCATAGTATTATGTTTGCGCAAGCCGACACTAGCTAGAAGCTGCGATACGGTGGACAACGAATAATCTGGGCTCGAACGAGAAAGGCGTCAAATCTTAAAACTGGCAGTGGTAAACTCCCCGGTTAGGGTCCCAAGGACAGCTAAAATTTATGGTGTGAGACACTAGCAGACACGGCTGAAAAACGGTGCAAGTGGCGCATCTGTTGCGAGATTCGTATTCGTTGATTTATATTTAAACCTCTTTCTTCATATGTTGTGGTGCATTTGCCAGTTCTATGTAATTGGTTAGGTTTCATATATATATATATATATATATATATAATTCCATTCAGCCCTGCACCCGAACTTGTTCTCTCTCTCACACACAAGTACACCCTAGAATCACACACACAACCGTCTGATTCATGCTTTAGGGACGCACGTGAACCAAAATCTCGCTGTGGTTCTTGACCTTGAAATCGCGACATTCGATTAGCCTCGATTGGTCACTGGTCCCTCATATGC